GGTCACATCAATAGAATATGATGTCCCTAAGGTCCCTCCTGTCCCTGACAAGTAGCGATAATAATATTGGGCTACTTCATACTGCAGGATGGAAGACTGTGGCCCCTTCTCATTGGTACAGTCTAAAAAAATGGTAGTATCTTGATAGACAGAGAACAAGGTATCTTTTAAGTCATAGTTGGTAGAAGGGTAAGAAAGAATAAGGGAAAGCAAAGATAGAATATGAAGACTTTGGTCTTCAATCAAAGGACTGCTGGTCACACATTAAGGAAACTGACTTGTTTTGTAGAACCCCAGCCAAGGTCATGCATAGATTTAGACACTGGTGCTGAATATGATTCCAACAATCCATACTCAAAATCTGCACTTGAGAGCCCCACACCATGTTCGAAGGCTCTCACAGGAGCTGGATGACATCTGTTGGGAGTAGGAATTGAATAAACGCTGAAGCCCATTACTCTCTGCTCAAGGGAAAGAGTTCAGGCAGGAAGTGGTCCGAGGCATGTCAATGCACTGAAGACCCTAGAGATCTAGCTGCCCAAAAAATGCTGGGAAAATTGTGAGAATTGCTACAAGTTCCATTTTTCAGTTTGAGAGGCTGCTTCAGAGCCAAGCAGGCAGCAGGACGAAAAAGACTTGTGTGGCGTCAGTGGATGGAGATCTAGGCACCAAACATCTCCTGAGTTGGGGTTGCACCTAACTGTAAAATGTGTACATGCTTTTGTGTAAGTCAAAAGTCAGCATCACAAAACCATAGGTTCTAGAACCCTAGATTTACGTAGCCCTAGAGATCATTGATTCAGCTTTCCTCCTGAAATTAAAAAATTAAGAAAGGAGCTGGTTCATTTCCTGTAAGCACAGTCCAATCTGCACACTCTAGCACGCAGATCTCATCAGAACAAAATCTGTCTTTTCACCCTCAGAACGTGAGTCTGCACCCTTGGGGGTGACTCTCAGGTGTCTTATAGCTTGATTTTTGCAAAGCTAAGTAAGCTGAGTTTCCTTAGTTCTTTATTATTTAACAAGCTCATCACTTTCCACAATACTTTTCATTTCATTAGAGACATCCTAAATCTGCTATTTAAACTTAGGCCCAATAGTCTAAATGTGCTCTGACTAATGCAAAACAATAATGGAACTAGACTTACACAACAGAGACCTCATATTTCTATTAATGCAGTGGATGTCCTATTGGTTCTTATTGACTTTATGTTCAACTACAACCCTTCACGAAATGTCATCAAAACAGGTCCTATCCATATACCTTCCATATAATTACCTCAAATGTTGGGAACCAATGGTTAGATTTCCTCTTGTGCTGTTCAGTTGGTTTGTCAAACCCTTTTTGAGCACTGAGTATCAGCTACCAACCACACCAGTGTCCCCTTCCCCCTACCACACCCACCAGATTGTGTCATTTGCAAACTGAATGAAACTGCCCTCCCTGCTTTTATCCAAGTCGTTGATAAAAACCTGAAGATGGCAGGCTATTCAACTGTTCACTCAACAAATGTTTATCAAACACCAACAATATGTAAAGCACTCAGCACAGAACCAGAGGAGAAATTAGATTTCTACTAAGACAGATCTGAAAATTGCTTGCTTCTGTAAGCCCATTGTAGGAGGTGGACTTCTTTCCCGGAAGAGCTAATTCAACTTATGAGGTACATATTGATCACTTACCTCTTGGGTCTCACACTTTATTAAGGAAACAAAGGAATTAAAAGCTGCAGCCCTGTTCTCTACAAGCACATTCCCTAATTAGCAAGACAGGCTTTGGAACACAAACCAAGGTGTGATGCAAGACAGGCAGCATTTATATAATCGTCAAAATGAATGGTACGGCAATATATTTGATTCTGGTTTAATTTAAAGTCACAAAAATGATAATCGATTTTTAGAAGTCTTCTAAAAATATCTTCCTCTCCCTCTCACCAATAGGAGTTTCTACAAGCCTGGAGGGTGGGGTCCAACTCTCAAGTATTTATACTCTTTGTTTTACTGATCCTCAGAATGACATACCATTCCTCATGTTGGATCAACATTGCTTTCCTTTAGCTGTCTATCTATAGTTTAAATGTGTGCTTGCGTGAAATAATTGAAAGAATGAATTCTAACTCTGCTCTCTGCAGTTAGAAAGAAAGAGTTCTGATGCAATGACTGACGGCCAACATCATGTGCTCATTTAGACTTTACTTTTCCAACCTAAAGATCTGCAATTCCTTCATTTGATGTTGTTCTAAGACTTCCTCACACCCACACCATTCTGATCATTCTTGTAAATCCATGTCAGACATCAAGCAAACACTCAAGATATGATTACTGGATGAAGACATGAACAAATGCTCTAGAATGCTTCAGGTTATCAATTCTAGCCCCTAACAAAAATGCTCTGCACTGAACAGACTGGGGGAAATGTGCTCAGAAAAGAGGGCCCACAGCAGTTGCCTGGTTCTAAACACTACACTTCTGCTAATGTTGCTTTTATCTTTTGGTCTTTGCAAGTTAGGGAGGGGGAGCTCAGGGGGAAGGCCAAAGAAAAGGGGTATCCTATACCATCGCTTCATACTGAGCTTGTAGCCAATTAAATCTGTAACTGGATATCGGCAACCAAACCCCACACAACTGTGTACCAAGAAAACCTAGACCACGGTATTTATTTTCATATCAGAGGGAATGGTATGTCCCTCTGGGCAACCAAGTCTTTCGAAGGCCAGGCTGGTATTCTGATCACCATAGCGCCTAAGCCCTTTGGAAATCTGAAGAATATGCAGTTGTCTGGGGAGGAGACCTAAGCAGACACACCAGACACCTATCAGGGAAGACAGGGTGAGCCAGTCTCACACCACATGGAAGCCTGAGCCTTGCTCAAACAGGGCTGGTCACCCCAGGAGGAGATATTCGATATGTCAGTGCAATGGTCCCGACAAGGAGAAATTTCCCTCAATTCAAAGACATCAGGGAAACTTACAACTAGTGAACCCAACAGGAGTTGAGAATGTCCTGCTGTCAGCTACAAGCAGAATGAGGGAAGGAGACAAACGGGAAGCAGAAGGCCCTAGGTGAAGCCAGCACCAGCAGGCACTATTTAACACCAGCCATGCCAGTATTTGTGGGCCATGGGCTTGCTATAAGCATTCACCCTTTACTCCTCCCCCAAATGAAACTACCAGGTAGGCGTGATTATCCCCATTTTATAACCATGACAATTAACTCTCATCGAGGTTCAGAGATTTGCCCAAAGTCACACAGGTCTCATGAGGCAGCCAGGGAGATGAGGTACCCCACCTCTGCCTCTAAAGGTCTTGGACCAAAGCATCACGAAACAAAGCTTTGGTTTCACCCCTTTATTCATTCTCTAACATAGATTTTAGCAAATGCCCACTGTGGACCAGGTCAGTGCAAAGCCTTGAGGACACCAGGTAAGAAATGACATGCAGTGTTCCTCATGGGGTTCAGCACACTGGAAAGAAGGGCAAACAACCAAACAAGCAGTCAAACAATAAGTCAGATCAATGCCTGGGCAGGAGGAGTGGAAGGGGAAGCCCACCCCATTCCCGGGAATGACCACCTCCCTTGATGAAACAGTACCTGGAGAAAAAGTTTAAAGGATATTCTAGCGACGCGAAAGGGAAAAGGAAAGGGAATAAAGCTTTAAGACGTGCAGTGAGTGGAGATACTGATGTGTGCTAGTGCTCAGCAGTCTGGGTGTGAAGTGGGAGGTGTCCAGGGCTCCCAAGGGAAGAAGACACTGGGCAGGGTGAGGCTACCGAGGGCGGGGGAGAGGGGTTGGAGCAGCACCTAATTGGCAGTGCAAGGTCTAGTGAGATCACATGGTTAATGCCCCCTGGATCTCACAGATTCTTAGGAAGGGGGCTCACGCTGATTGAAAGAACCGAGCCTAAAGCAGACTCACCCTGTGAATTCAGAGGCTGAGGAACACGTAACCTAAATGCATAGGTCATTTGGTACACAGCAGCTTCTCAGCAATACCTGCCTGAGAAGAGCTTACTCCCCAGCTTCCAAAGTAAGTGCCTAGAATGCAGAGTGGCCTTGCCTGGAGCAGGGCTCCCTCGGCCTGGCCCTGCAGGGAGAAAGCAACGCAAGTCACCCCACCCAGGCTCCCCAGGGCACTCACCTGAGTCTGACGCTGCAGGGCTCACCAGGCTGAGCAGCTCCCGCTCCTTCTCGTAGTCCCCTTTGCAAAGCAGCTGCCCCTCCTTCAGGACAAACTCATCACCCTTCTGGAGCTGCCGCTCACACACGCAGCAGCAGAAGCAGCTCAGGTGGTAGACGCTTTTCTGGGCCCGCATGACAAATTCATTGGGTGCGATGGCTTCAAAGCAGCCCCCACATTTGACAGCAAACAGCCTGGTAGCAGGGAAGAAAGAGAAGCAAGATCTGTGATGATGGCACAACTGGGCAAGACCCAACTCACCCCTCAGGGAAATAGCAGAAGAGACCTTGGGGCCTGGGACTGGAATAGCAGCTGACCCTTTGTGGGTCTGCTAATCCTAAGCGGCCTATCCATTTTGTTACCTACAAGATCTGTATTCCAAAAACATGGTCAGAACTGCCCAGTCAAAGGAGCCCAGCCCTACAAGGTGACTTTCACATCAATTAAGAGCATAAAGCTGGATCACCCTGGGAAGGTCGTGCAGCACAAGGTAAGACTGGGAATGTCCTCGGGGGCTGATGACGGATGCATAAACTTACTCCTGACTTATACATCACAAGGTATGACTGCAACACCTAGGGGCCATCGACTGGGTTATAACAAAGGACCCCAGAAGCAGATCAGTGGAATGCCTTATTGACTGGGGAGTCAGGGCTTGCTTGATCTACAACACCAAGTTCTCAGCAGATGAGAAACAGATTTCCACCCTTCCCCTGCTTCTTCTACTCCCCCCTTTCCTTTCCTGCTTCCCCATATGACTGATGCCATATGACTAGTGTATCCATAAAGAGGCCAGGACCTTGCTCTTGAGCAGCACCCTGCATTATTTTGTGGAGCAGTCGCCTGTTTTTCAGTGTGGTGTTGCCCTCCATAACAACCCTTTTACTCAGAACACCACCCACAAGCCCAAATTCATGGGCTCCATAAATCACAGATGTCAGTTGGCTGAGTCCAGGATGTGGAACCCCAAATGAAGAGGGCCGATTCTAAGGGACTTAGGCAAGTCTGATGTGGGTACCCTGGGATAGCTAAAAGGAGTCCTGAGCCCAATCCCTGCCCAAATAACTGTAGTTAAATCTGGGGGAGCCAAAGTGATATGTGAATTTTCAACTCTGTGGGATTGGTGGCCAAAGGTTGCTCAAGGACTAACAATACTTTAAACCCAGACCATTTATCTCTTCAAGCAGCCAGTGAAAGCATCCAATTGCGTTACTCTCTCAAAGGCGTGAGCAAAATGTGGGGATACTAAGAGCAGTCAGAGCTGATGTCCCAAGTGCACTGGGGTGGGCTGTGACACGGTGTCCCTGGGGGGTGACAGGGAGGGGTCCATACACTTGTGCCAGACAGGCCGTTCCAGTCCTTGGAAGCGCTTGTTACTTCAACAATAACAAAAATGTCCAGGTGCACTCCTATTAGGGTGTGGCCCACAAATATGAACTTTTCACACGTTCCCCAAGACATTCGAGTGTATAATCTGGTTTCTGAGAAAGGGACTGCCTTCCAGTTTCCCAACCTGACCTCCAACAGATACAGTTTCCCAACCTGACCTCCAACAGATACAGGCTCTCACTCCCTCAATCTCTCAATTTCTCTCTCTCCTTCAGGACTTAACTCATTTCATTTCCTATCATTTCTTTTAAATGATTTTTAATTAAAGTAACATTGCACTCTAAACTGTAGAAGTTTCTAGTGTGCCTCAGTAGACACCAACATCTGTGTACGTGACATTCAGTGCACCAGGACAAGCCCAATTCTATTCTTCACTACTCCTTTCATTTCTTTTCAGCAAACCACTCAGAGGGTGTCTATATGTGCCAAGCCAAAGCCGTAGGTACAAGTGACGTGAAGGCATACAGATTGGCACCATGAAGAGGGAGGTCATTCAAACTCTTTGAGTGAGAGGAAGAAGCTGCCTCCCAGGAATCCACGAGGGAACAGGACAGAGGTGAGCCTCAGGTGATGCCAGCACAGCTGGGTCTCCAAAATGCAGTGCCGCTTCACGCTCAACCCGGGTCCTGGACCCCCACATCAACCCTTCCTGCCCCCAGCCCTCAGGAGCACCTCAGAAACACCCATCCTAATGAGCCATCCCCTTCCCTCTCTCAACTTCCGCAAAGGAAGTGAGATTGGGGGACAGTCCAAGGGGCTTATGTGACCCTTTCACCACTAATAAGGTATGCAAAGGCCCCCAAATCAAAACTCCAGGTAGGTACTGACAGTACTTTGCCAGCCTCTCCCTTCTTCCAGCCATCCAGTGTGGTTTTTCTCTCTATGTCTGAACCTCAAGTCACCCCAGTTTCTTAAACATTTGCCTTCACTCTCTTCCCCCAAGCTAGATGCCATGAATTGAGCAGAAAATCCATCCAGTTCATCCCTGGCCCAGTCCCTCATCAGTGTTTGCCAACCTGAGCAAACTAATCAATGCTTTTCCAGGAGCCAGTCAAAGGCCCTTTGTCCCCAAGCCTCCTTCTCCCCTTCGCCTGGAATGGACATTAAACAGACTCAAGGCAAACGCTCCCGGGAGTCAACAAGCACTTGAGAATCTGCTGCTACAGGTGGTGGCATCTGTGCTTGTCTAACTTCTACCCTGCTAATCTCCTCTTTTTTCTCATCCCTTCGTAATTTCATCCCCCTTGCCAAAATCTGCCCCTGAATTAAAGAAGGAAGTGTGAGGATGAGCCCAACAAAGAAAGCCCACTATGTTGACTCAGGCATGGCTGGAGGACGTGGCGGGAGTTGTCTGGTCATGGTCAGTGGGGACTACAGACTGGGAAGAAGGGGGGGCGGCCTGTGTCTCCCCATTTTCTCCTTCTCTCTCCCTGTGCTGAGAAAAGATCAGTCAGACTCACCTTATGACCTTGGCTCTTGCTTCCCTCACTGACCCCAGAGCAACCCAAGGAGAAAAAGTACCTGCAGCCCACCACCTGTGTGCCAGATGTGTACACAGCTGTCCAGGCACCACTGTGGACCCAGCTGCTGACGACACACCTCCCACAAGTTGTTTTCTCTAAGGCTCAGACAAGCAGAGAAACGGATTTGTTCAAAAGTCCAGGTTGTAATTAAAACACAGCCTGTCTCTTCCCAATACCCTGGATGGCTTCCGCCATGGCTACTTCCCCTTCTGAATGCTAATGAGACCTCACTCTGGGTTCAGAGTCTTGCAGACTGGCTGTGCCCTGGGAAGCTAGCTAGGCATGGTTTCCAGAAATGCCCAGCTCTTCTAGGCATACACAGCACCTCTCAACTCTTCTGCATCATGAAAAAGTTCCCTGCCCACAAAAGCTCTTGGAAGGATTCCTTGTCTCCTCATTACATACAACTGCCTCACCTATAAAGTGGACAAAACATCATCGAGCTCATGAGGAAGCAGCCAGTGCCATCTGATTACAACCTCTCCTTCCTCTATTGAATGCCCACAGTGGGGAGGATTCTGGGTGAGCTTGCATTTTCTAGCAAGCAGCAAGTGCTAAACAAATGACCACAGGAGGGTGTGTTTGGGCTGTGTAGGAGGCAAACAGCTCGGATGGCACAAGAGAGAGGCGCATCCACTTAGTTTAGGCTGGAAGTCACAAAATCTTTGGTCTTCTTTTTTCTCTTCTTTTCCATCCTTTCCTCCTCTGCCTTTCCCCACTCCCACTAGTAAGCAGGAAGATAGAGGTTGGCTGAAATTCTGCCCCATGCCTGCTTACCTCTCTTACTGTACAGCCCTCAGATGCACAAATTTTAGGTTAGGTGAGGGAGCCTGAGGTGAAAGCCTCTGCTGCTTTCAAGCAGCCAGCGTAACTGAGTCAGGTAACTGCTGCAGCCTCATTTTGCTCAGATGTAAAAGACCCTCTTTGATCCAACAGTGCCATGCAAGAGTCTACACTGACTCCAAAAAGATTGGGAAATCAGACGATTCTTGCTGGAACCCCATTCACTGAGGAATCTGGAGAGTCCCTGTTCTCAAGGTATAGGCAGAAATATAGGCTAGTAGTGCTGGTCCCTGGAAAGCCCAAGGAAGCCCAGCCAGAGAAAGACTGAGCTGTGCAGAAGAAGGAGGTCACACGGTGTAGTTACATAAACAGGACTGAGTCCCTACTCCAAAACTCCACTGAGTGATTTGGGTCGGCTTATGGCATCATCAGTTTAATTTAGCCTCGCAGTGGGGATGACAAAAATCACCTCTCTCTCATAGCTCCAATAAGAATTCACTGAACAAAAGCATTAAAATTGCTTTGGACAGTGCTTGGCACGTGATAAATCCTCAGTGTAAATCCTATTACAATGGCAATGACGACAATGATGGTGATGATGACAATGATGGAGGGAAAGGGCTTCATAGGACATAAAAGAGAGAGAGTGGGGTAGAAAATATATATATGACGAGTCACAATGCCATGGCGATTGATTAGCTAAAGGAGCGTGAATGAAGGACGTGGGGGAGCAGTTCAAGACCACAGCCATGAACCATGTGGTCAGCTCTTCAGCGGTGCTGGCTATGGGCTTGGTGTCCAAATGTGGCACTAATGGGCCAGGGTTTGAGTCTCCACCAGCCCTGTAGTGGCCTTGGGCAGAGCTTGCATGTAGTCTATCCACAGAGGATTTATCTGGATTGACACAAATGCCAAATGCCTTCTTACTCTATATAGCAAAGTAAAAACCACCAGGTTAATTTAGGATTCTTTTTTTTAGTATCAACACATAGGACTTTTTTTTTAAGATTTCAGGAACTTTTTTTTTAGATTTATTTATTTATGCATACAGAACTGGGGTACAGACCAGAGGTGCAAGGGTGGTGAAAGGATCCACCAGAGACAGAGTGGGGAGCAGAACAGGCAGATCAATGAAGTACACTGCTGAGGGGAGCAGTGGACGGGTCAGGAGAGGTCTGCTGCTCCATGTGGGTCACCTCCTGGGCTGGGGATCGAACTTGCACTGAAGCAGCTGCAGCCTGCTTGCAGTGCTGCATCCTTACCCGCTGCGCCACCAGGGAGGGCCACAGAGGATTTAACCATGACTTCCCTTGCTTCCTACCATCTCTCCCACCCCCTGCTCCATTGTCCTCTAGACAGCAGATACCGTCACTAGATTACTTGTTATCTCCAATCTACTCTCCAAGATGATGACAAAATTTCCCAAACAGAAATACTGCAAAATATGGCAATCTTAAAACTATTCCAGGGTAAGGGCATTGAGATCCATGAGAACCGAG